AAAGGAAAAGTTGACCACATTAATTTAAAACTATACAGGGGCAAAACCAAAATATAGGTGTCCAACACAGATTATAAACCATTTGGATGAAAAAAGACATTCCAAAAGATCTATTATTTTAGTCCATAGACAATGGAAGAGTTTTGAGAGGATATGATTGCACGTATGTAAACTGGAAAAGGACACTTTAAAAAAAAAAAAGACATAACTTTTAAAAATCCTTTTGTCAGAGCTGATAAGTTTAAAGTCATATTAAGCTTCTCTACATTTTAGCTTGATTTATAAATGTTGGGATTCTGAGGTATAGATAGAGACTCCGGTAGGAGCTGTATCCTCATTCTGGTGGCATTTATATTGATTTTACCACCAAATTGTTGCAACCCGATAGCTGATGAATAGCTGAAAACACATTCAGTTAACTCCCTGAGCTTTCCTTCTTAAATTTTTAAATCTTTTTGCTATTTAACATCCACCTTGCTATCATAGTCAGTGTGAAAAGCAAGCATATACATTAGTGGACTTCCAGAAGAAAAAAATTCGTAAAATTAACTACTGATAGAACTGGACTTAAACAGCATATCACTCTTTTTCTTTTTTCCCTTCTTTTTCTTCTGTTTCACTTCTGATTTGTATTTCAGTCAGTGTCATTAAATGGTTTCATTCATATCAGGTACACTGGCATTTGCTCTACTTCTTCCCCTAGTGAAATGGGAAAGATTTACAATTGTTCTTCTCTGGGGAAGTTCTTAATCAAAGACTCTTTCCATGAGATAACAGACAGGAATTCACTTGGCTGTAAACAAGCAAGCTAGAAAAACTGAAAGAGAACATATAAAATATGCTGGTCATCTACACTTTTAGCACCATACCTGCTTACACAAGCTGAAATCTTTCATGCCTGCTTGCAAAGAGCTGAAATCCTTTGGCAGGGAGCCTCCAGAGATGACAGAGAACCAAAGTGCAAGCAGGATTTTCAAGCCCTGAGTGGAGAGGCAAGTAAGGAGTCATCAGAGGCTTGGATTTCAGCAGGAACTATTTTCAGCTCCTGAGAAGAGAGGTAGCAGAGTAAGGTAAGGAGTGTCAAATAGCTCGGAGGAATTGAGGGACCCAAGGAGGCACAAAATGGACTTCACACAGTCATTGTTTTTTTTTTCCAGTCAGGAGTTGAAAATTCTGCTTGGATTTCAACAGAGAGGATTTGAATGGAAAGACACTTGCATGCAGCCTGTGAACCTCTCTAGGTCTCCCTTATCCCTCTAAGGCAGTCCATGTTCCTTATCTGGGATTCTGCCTGTTTAACAATCCACAAAATGCACCTGGAAATGCTGAGATTATGGATATTGAGCAGTCACATGACATGTCATTAAACAATTGTTTTGCTCAGTGACCAAGATTCTGGTCCCAACTGCAGTTGTAAGTTGAGGATTACCTGTAGTTGCTTCTTGGCTAAATATTCACACTTCTCTGTTCTTTCATTCATGTTTGATTCTCTAGCATAGAATGGCCATATCTTTTGGTCACAAAGGTGGTTGCTGTGCCCCAGTCCTGGCCTCCCTGTTCACATCTATAGATTTTTCCTTTGTGATTCTGAAGACTGATGTAGACCGCAATTAAAGGAGAATATTTGTGGCTCAGAATTGAAATGCAGGGTCCTTAGTGCTCTCTGAGTTTGGTTGTTTTCTTGTAGACATTTCATTACCTAAACTAGGTAACATCATCAGTAAATCGATCTTTTATCGTTCTAATACACAAAGGGGATAGGAAAGATTCAGCTAAATTCTAGCTCAACAACTTGCTAAGTCTAATAAGCAAATATTCACCTCAGTGAAGAGGATTGCCTGGTACAGGATAATATTTTAGTTTTTCATTTTCAAGGAAGGAGGGGATTGGTGCTTAATCAGTGTTTTTTTTTCCTTCTCTTTTATTTTTTTCTTTTCGTTACGTTCTAACAGGAAAAAAAATATATCCAGTTTCCACGAGGGATCCTCTGTGTTGGCCTTTCCCAGCACAGAGAACAACACTATTTTTACCATATTCCCAGACCACAACTCTTCAAGAAATTGGCTGCTCCTTATTGATCAATGTTTTTGATGATTATGACATTCTATGAAAACAATGCATTTCAGGTTTGTTGAAGGAATCTTTCTCCTATAATTCCTGCTCACAAAGGAATGAAACAATACTGTGGTGCTCTATTTCATAAATTGTATATTAATTTGTTGGCCCCAGTTTAAATGAAATCTGAATTTCACCTCCCTGCCTCCCTCCAATGTATATACTGTATTATTTTCTGAATATTTTTTGTCCTGTCTTCAACCTTCCCTTTTGGGGAAGGATGTTCAGAAGATGTTTACTCTGAAACTTCAAAGATTCCTGGATGAAACTGATTTTTTTCCCGTTTCCTGTCACTATGGGGCTAAAACTTTACTGGGTTCTGGATTTGGATTCTTATTTTTGTAAGCTACCATGAAAATTGGGCAGCCATATAATTTTTATAAATATATAAATAAATAATCAAATGTATACATCTACCCATTTATTCCAAAAGGGACTCTGTCTGGTGTACAATAAGGTTAAACCATAAACAATAACTATTAAGCAATAGATCTATTGCAGTAATTTTCTGCTTAATACAAGTACTTCTGTAAACACTCTTGAATTTATCAAATACTTATCAAAGGGTTGTGTTCCATCCATAAATTGCAGTATCTGTTTTATTTTTCTTTAATCAGTATCCTCCACTCTTGAATAAGAGAGACCAGGACTACACTATCTTCTACGGAAGATTCATTAAGATATTTGGGGAGTATCCCTCAAATATCATATCTCTGCACAGTGATGGTTTTGTTTTTTTCAAACCATATGATTCACAAGGACTTCTATTGTTGCATCATATAGCTTTCTTATAACAGAATAGCGCAACATGTTTTCATTCCCTAGGAGAATAAAAACCACAGTATTTGTGAACAAGCACAATTTGATAGCTACAGACTAAAATCAGTTTATATAATAAAAGGAGGTCTCATTATGTAGTAGGACTAATTTGAATTATTATCTGTTGTTCCTGATGGTACTACGAAATACATGCAGTGGTATTTTAGAAGAACAATGTAATGCTCTCATCAAAGTAGTATTAGAGTTCATTAACTATCCTATTTATTATTGAAGAAATGCATTGAGAGCTTGGTTGTTTGACTATCATGCAAGATCTCTATTTATTTGTATTTCAGTGTTTCGCTGCATGATTATCAACTTCTGACTATATTGTAAGACAAGAGAAATGATCTTAAAATACACTGTCACATCCACATTTTCTTTTTCTCATTGTGTGCACATACATACATGTTTGTGTCTGTATGCTTAGGAATACTATGTCTGGGTTGCAAAACCTGGATATCTACCACATATCAGCAAAGAGAAATGGAAAAAAAAAAAAAAAAACTTTTTGAGAGCATCTTATGGCCTTTGAGAGACCTAATGTAGCTCTGGTGTAGATCCATTCTTTAAGAGTATAGACTGAAAGCTCTGCACAAGGATTTTTATTCTTACACACAAGTATCTTTATCCCAGGCTTTTGATATTCACTTCATTTATCATTACTATTTTTTTGCTTCCAGCGGAAGAAGGATATTAAACAGGTTTGTTCAAGGTAAAACATTTAAAAAATTAGGACTATGTCCTCTCATAGTTGTGGTTGTTGACCCTAGCAAGTGGGTGAGTGTAGGAGTGTTGTATAAAAAATTGTGTCAGAAAAGAACATGTTCTTGAATATGTACTCCTACAGTATAACATTAAACCTGTTAAAGTTTTTCTTTGCTCACTTTTTTCCTTTCTTTTTACCAGCTTTATGTTTATGAAAGTAAAAACATTTGAAAATGTTTTTATATGCAAGTATAATTGCTTTTTGGTTATATTAATTGGGTAGAATTTGTGACTTTAACAGATGTTGAGTTAAATTGTTGATTGTAAGGTAGAACAGCCGATGATTAAGGCATATTAAATCCACAGTGCATGTTTTTAATAAAAAAATAAATGAGTGATAACGGCAGGTGTGTTTTCATAATAAAAAGGTAAAAAGAATTAAATCTTGAAGGGCTAATTATGAGAGGCTGGGATATAAAGAATTAAGGAAAATGATAGCATGGAAGGAGTGTTTAAGAGAACTCATACAGTTGTTCATAATAATGTAGCTAGCATACATGAAAGCTTTTTTATAGCTAGATTAGATTACATAGATCAGTGGTTCTCAACCTAATGCCGCAACCCCATAATACAGTTCCCCATGTTGTGGTGACCCCCAACCACTTATACATCACCGGGTGCCAGGGGCATGGCCAAAGAAAAGGGGGAAAAAATGGCAGACAGCCTTGTTTGGCGACCCTCGTGAAATGGTCGTTCGACCCCAAATGGGGTCCCAACCCACAAGTTGAGAACCACTGACATAGATGATAGATGATGGATAGATAGATAGATAGATAGATAGATAGATAGATAGATAGATAGACAGAGACAGATGAGATAAGATAAGGTAGGGTAAGATAAGGTGGGGTAAGAAAAGACAAGACAAAGGTCACTCTTTTGAAGTCAGCAAAGTCCACATTATGTATAGAGAAGACCATTGGTTTGAAAGAAGGGTAAAAAAGGCCATTTAGGTTAACATTGAGCAGCTCTCTCTCTCAACAGAGGGGGAGGGATAAGACACCTATCTATCTCCTGTCTTACAACGCAGTCCATTCAGCAGTTCCAATAAGATTTCACCTCCATTTTCACTGATACAGGTGACTCTGAGGGCACAGGTAAATTCCCAAGTAGCCTCAAGAACTCTCAGGGAGAGTCCCAACAACCAGATGATTGCAAAGAAACATGATCCTTCCAACTCCTCCCCCCACCCTATCTTGTCAGAATCAATCCTTCTATCACCCTCACTCTCCTGCCAAAACTGAAGCTTCTTGGATGAGAAGCGAAGCATCTTCCTCAAAGAAAAAAACAGTCCTATTGTCTTTTTTTACCCTTAAAAGTATTTTATTAATTTTCTATTATTATAATTCATTAGTGCTTATATACATTTCTGGGGGAATTGTTAGAATTCCAAAGGTCTTCTTCTGTAGTAACATTGGTATTAGTTATGCAGAGTCAGGTTCTAAATCCAAATCTTTAACATTATGAACTGTAAATCCTAACCACACTGTCACAAGCAAGCTTCTTAATGCACAGGAGAGACTAGTTCTAAGTTAACATGCATTTACAGGCTTGCTCTGTAAATGTTTTGTGGTACCTTTTTATCTACATATATATCAACAAGGACAGGATAGGATGTTCTGAAAATTCATTTAGTATAGGGGAGAACTGGCCTTGCTACCTAATCCTCATTTAGAATTCAGTTTTAGTTTGGTTGAATTAAGAAACATTCCTTGAATGAGAGAATAAGAAAAGGTATAGGTCTCAGTGTGTTTTCTCCTAAAGGTGTTGCTTTATGGAACTCTTAGATGTTAGCTTGAATTCCTAGCCAATATTCTCCAAAATAACTGCACACCAATTCATCCTAATCTTATATGGGGAATCTGGAAAGATGTCAGCAATAACAGTCTCAATATATGTATCTGTGTAAACTTTCCCATCTGTTTAACATATAACATATGCTTTATTTATATTATTTATATTTATTCTACATCTCTGTCTCATGTTTTTGCATACTATTAAAAGCTTATTTATATAATGCATATATTTATATCTCTGCCATTTCCCTAATCATGCAAGTGACATTAACATCTTACTAATGATGGCATCCAACAAACTTTATCTTATATAATGAAATAATTGTGTTTCTGCCAATCTTTTGCAGTGGCTGAAATTCTAAACACAACATTTCTGGAATGTCCAAGGTTGAAAAAAAAAGCTGAAAATGGGTACTGAATCAGGAATGGTCCCTTGGGTGAATTTACCATGGAATGTAAACTTAACTGAGATAATTTCACTTCTCTTTCAGTGGACTGAAGCTTCCCAGGAGCTATATGAAAGAAGCACGAAAAGGCTAATTAGTCTCTGATCTAAAACTCCTGCAGAGCTACTTTATTTTTTAAAAAAGGTTACTAGATCAGCCTTATTCTTAGGCAAAATGATGCAAATCCTTCAGGCAGTTGATGTTGCATGTCATGGAAAAATAGCAAATCCTGTCATGGAAAAATAGCAAATCCTGCCAATATAATACAGGTTGTCATTCAGCAGGTTTAATGAGGAATAAAGAGATGCAATTGATGTTTCCCTTTAAAGAACAAAATGTCATAGGCTGGCCTTGTGCTGTGAGATTGCTGAGTCTCAGGATCATAATAGCATCATGATTTGCATCATAATTTGCATCTCTCCTGTTTTGTTTATTTGTTTTTGATGACTTATGCAAACAACCAAAGGAATAAAATGTCCAAGACTATGGTGATGTTATCCATTCAATCATGTCTGATTCTTGGCAACTCTATGGGCCACATTTTCTGATTTGTACAGCTTCTTTCCTATGTTTCCACTGTTTTATGCTGGCAGTGTCTAGCCACTGTGTTGTTGGGTTTTTTTTTGATGGCTTTGTTTCCTTTTACTGCTTACCATTCCAAGCATAACTATCTTTTCCAGTGAGTTTGATTGCATGACATGACTGAAATAAGTAAGGTAGAATTTTGTGATTTTTGCCTTCCAGTGATATGCCTGATTTTATATGCACCAGTGCTTACTTGTCTGTCACCTTTGCTGTCCAAAAAATGTGCAGGAGCCTTTTCCAACATTACAAGTCAAATGTGTTGATTTTCTTCCTGTCTAGTTTTTTTCATGCTTCAGCTTTTGCAGCCATAGGTAGCTGTTCTATCCTTACTCTGTGTGCAGCTTGACATGCAGCTAAACCCACTTATCCTCCAATAAAGCAGATTGTGTTCGTAGATCTGGATGCTTTATTAAGGGAACCGGATGGGTGAAACTGGGAAAAATAGAAATACATAGAATAAGAATCCAAATACAAAATAACCAATGCTGAATTGCTGGTGAGCATTTAACAAATTAACAAATATAGATAAATCTAGATCTCACCACTGATGCTCTGCCTATGGGATGTAGGTTTTTATCCTCAGATGACCATGTGCCACGGATTACAGTGGATTCTTCCTGGTGCTTCTGTTTCCTTCTGAATGCTAAAGGAAATGGAGTCTAGCTTCCCAGGATGCACTTGTTTTTGGAGTGAGGGTTGCTGGGAAGATGACTCTTAAAGGGCTGACTCAGCTTCCAAACAATACAAATTGGTATTTGGCCTCATCCATTAGATGGTGCCAGAGAGCAACAACAGTATACAAATTATATCTGGCATTTATATATCCTGCATGGGGTCATTAGCTTGGTCTTTTTGACATTCAAAAAAAGGCACAATTTCTTGCTTTTTTCCTTTGATTCTTTTAGTCAAGAGACAAGAGTTGTGTCATCAGCCTATTGAACATTGTTGATGTTCCTTTCTCCAATCTACATTCTGATTTTTGATTCATCAAGTTCCAGCGTCCTCATTATCATTTCAGCTTACAGGTTGAATAAGAAAGGTGCAATCTCACCACACTCTTTTCTCTATCTTGACTAATCAGTGTCTCCTCAACATGTTTGCAGAGTGGCTTCCTGTTGTGTACAGTGACTGCACCAACTTGACCAGATGTGTTAGCACCCAAAGGACATCTATTGTTCTCCACAGAATTGAAACCTTTCTTGTAGCCAATAAAGCATATGTAAATATGTATCAACATATATTTTGATATTTATGAGATTTTTTTCATGATCCAGTATAGATTTGCAATATGGCCATGAGTGTCATGACCCTTTCTGAAGCCATATTGAACATCTTGTAATTCCCTTTCAATGGTCAGCAGCAGATGTTGTATGACCTTAAGGATCATCTTGCTTGGCTTGAGGAATGAGGGCAATTGAGCAGTAATTGGAGCACTCCTTAGGGTCACTCTGTTTTTTGGCAATCAGTTGAATACTGATTATGTTCAAATCTGTGATCATATATTCATTTCTGGTACAAGACTGAGATGGGTGGTAGAGGCCTCAGCAATTCCAAGGGAATGGTGTCAATACCTGGACCTTGTTGTCTGGCAGTTGGCTCATTGCTCACACAAACTTCTTCCTGAAGGATTTGGTGGTTTTATTTCTGCTTCCCTTTCCACATTATGCTAAGGAGGCTGGGCCTCTTTGTGGCTGGCATACTGCTCTTCTGTATATTCTCACCGTCATTTTTGATACCTTATTGGTCAGACAGTTTTTTCCCCTGATTGGTTTTGATGATGCTTTTATGAACAATCAATGATGTACAAATCCTTTTGACTTGCACAAATGCATTCCTGGTGTGGCCGTCCGTACAGTCTTCTTGTACCATTTCCTTGCTGCTCTTTTAAAACTTGCATTCACTGTCCTTATGTCCTCCGATTTGCTTGCTGTTTCAGCCACTTTTCTTCCTTCAGCTATTCTAATAGTTTCATCTCAAAGCCACTTCCACTTTTTATCTGACTTCTTGTATGATATGTGTTCACCTGCTGTTTCAGTGATGGTCGATTGGATTTTTTGGTACACTTTGTTGAGGATCTTCTCAGCAGTGTCCAGCAGTTCAAATACATTTTTTCATGTATTTGCATATGTGGAAGTGATGTAGGACAAACTTCTTTGGTAGTGCTGTCTTTTTGATGTTGCATGATTTGATTCTGATCTTGGCCACTAGCAATTCACAAATGGAACCCTAATATATCTTGAAAGGGAAGATTTAATTGGACCATAGATGGTTATATAGGATATAGTTGATTAGATTACAGTGTGGGTTATTTGGTGAGATCCAAGTGTATAAGCCATTTGAACAAGGATTCATGGTTCAAAATCAATTTTTATGTCAAAATTGAACTAAACAATCACCAGTATCATTCCTCTCCCATGTTCAAACCTGCCAGTGATGTCTGTTTCTGCTTAACTAGCAACGTCTGCATTGAAATCACTCAGAATGTAAACAATGCCTTTTTTGGCACTTGCTTCAGAGGTGGTTTTTTTTTTTTTTTAATGCTGGCATAGAAACCATTCACTTCGGATCTTACCTCAGCCCTCTCCATTTACCCAAGGTTGGCTGTGAGTCAAAGAAGTATAAATTAAAATACATAAAAATGATTTATGTTTCAAAATGCTCAAAAAGGAAACGCTGTTAACCACGAAAGTTCACTAATTTTTAATAATTCACAGTATATAATGTATTTTAGCACAGTTTCTCAGCATTTATGTTTTATTATGACATTCTTCCCCCCTCACTAAATTGATACTCAGCATTATACTGCATTATTATTAGTTTAATGCTTGCATTTAAGTGGAGCCAAGCACTAAATAATTTCCTCTCTTTTGCTTCACATTAATTGAAAATTTGAATGGTGTCATGGCAAAACAGTAGATAAGAAAAGTTCCCCCCTTTTAAATAATAGACGGGAGCTTTTTTCAAAGCCATAAAACAGGATTTTTGGAAATAATTTCTTTGAATAGCTATATCGAAAAAGAAGTCAACAAGTACAATGTGTGAAAAGTTCAGAAAAGATCTTATGAAGTCTTTCAGAGAACCAAGAATTGGAAAGGAAGAATAATGTACTTGTATTTCAAGAGAACTTAACTATTAAAAATAATGATAATTAATCTGACAGCCTGCCTTAAGATGAAATATTAACAGTTATACTCAGAAGACATTAGAAGCTGTTTACAAATAATACATAATGGCTGACAGTTTGAGAAAATCTTTGCCTTCCTGAACATCACACCTTATTGCTTCACAGAAGGAGCTTTCCCAACATGTACCTATCAGATGTGCTGCATTACAATTCCCCTCATCCCCACAGAGCACATTCAGGTAGGTAGCCATATGAATTGTTACCAGTACATTGTGGAGGGGGCAAATATTCAGGAAAGATTCACGAAAAGAATCTATTTTATTTTCTTATTAGTTCGAAAATGGGAGTTAAATCTGAACAAGTTTCAATTGGTTAGACCAGTGTTTCCAGGGGAATTCTGGAATCTGAAGTCCACATAGCCCCAAGTTGTCAAATTTGAGTAACATTGGATTATATTTCTACTCTCAATCACTATGTTTTGTTGCAGCTTTGTTACAGCCCTTCAAACAGTGTTAAAACTGTAGGGCACCTATATATAAAGGTGAAAATAATACTAACACCATATTTGACAATTTGATTTATTACCAGAATTCTGAGTGGTAATAATATAAATAATAAATGTCTTTTATTTATTAATAACTATTGGTTTCACTATAAAAATAGAGCAGTAATACTTTTAAGTGTTGTAATTTTAATTTTATTCTGTTTATTCGTTTAGAGGGAAATGATAGAACCAATTCATTGGTCAGATATTAAATTTCTGTTTTGTGCATAAAAAATTCATAAATATGAATTGAAGTATTAATACCACTTTACAATGCCTTGGTAAGGCCACTGGAATACTGAATCTAGTTTTGGTCACCACGATGAGACACTAGAAAGAGTACAAAGAAGAGCAACAAAGATGATTAGGGGACTGGAGGCTAAAACATATAATGAACGGTTGCTAGAATTGGGTATATCTAGTTTAATGAAGAGAAGGATGAGGGGGGACATGATAGCAATGTTCCAATATCTCAGGGGCTACCACAAAGAAGAGGGAGTCAAGCTATTCTCCAAAGCGCCTGAAGACAGGACAAGAAGCAACAGATGGAAACTAATCAAGGAGAGAAGCAACCTAGAACTAAGGAGAAACTTCTTGACAGTTAGAACAATTAACCAGTGGAACAACCTGCCTCCAGAAGTGGTGAATGCTCCAACACTGGAAGTTTTTAAGAAGAGACTGGACAGCCATTTGTCCAACATGGTATAGGGTTTCCTGCCTGAGCAGGGGGTTGGACTAGATGACCTCCAAGGTCCCTTCCAATTTGTTGTTGTTGTTGTTGTTGTTGTTATTATTATTATTATTATTGATCATCGCACAGTCAGCCAGATGTTCAGACTGGATTTGGCATTTTGTCTACCTATCGAGTCCTTACCCAGGACCTGGGATAGGCAGATGGGGATGTTTGATGGTATTGCAGGTGTCATCGCAGGATGGAAGCAGTTCCTAATAAGGCCGCCTTTTGCAATTGACTAATAGCGAATTTGTCAATGCCAATTGTGTTCAAGTGGTGCTCCAGTTGTTTTGGTATTGCACCCAAGGAGCCTATGACTATTGGTACTACCCTTGCTTGCTTTTGCCACAGTCTTTCTATTTCTATTTGTAGTCTTTGTATTTTGTTATCTTCTCCAGTTCTTTCTCGTCTATTCTGCTGTCTCCAGGCACTGCCACATCCACTATCCAGACTTTTTTGTCTTTCTTATCGACAATTGTTAAGTCTGGGGTGTTATGTTGCAGGTGCTTGTCTGTTTGAATTCTGAAGTCCCAGAGCAGTTTAATTTTATCATTTTCTATGACTTTCTCTATTTTATGATCCCACCAGTTTTTGCTTACAGGCAAATGATATTTTTTGCAGATCTTCCAATGCACCATTGTTGCTACTTTGTCATGCCGTTGCTTGTAATCAGTCTGTGCAATCTTCTTGCAACAGCTTACCAAGTGGTCCACTGTTTCTTCAGCTTCTTTGCATAGGCGGCACTTACTGTCTGTTGCTGTCTTCTCAATTTTGACTTTGTATGCATTTGTCCTTAAGGCTTGGTCTTGTGCAGCCAGAATTAGTCCCTCGGTCTCTTTCTTCAATTTTCCTGCTCTTAGCCATTGCCAGGTTTTGTTATTATCTGCTTTCCCAGCTATTTTTTTAATGTATTGGCCATGCAGTGCTTTGTCTTCCCATGCCTCTATTCTGTTCTTCATTTGGTCTTTCTTGTAGGCCAGTTTGGTCTCTCCAGTAGTCAGTAAGCCTTCCTGATATACTAATTTCAGTGCATCTTCATCATTGTTCTTCAGATATTCTTCCAAAGCCATTTTTTCTTCTTCAACCATCTGATGTACTTGTAGCATTCCACGCCCACCTATTTGCCTTGGTAGATAAAGTCTATCAATGTCACTGCGTGGATGAAGGGCATGATTCATTGTCATTATTTTTCTGGTCTGCCTATCCATTGCTTTTAGTTCTGCTTGAGTCCAGTCCAC